GTTGCCTTTTCTTATCCCCCTCTCCCAACCCCGAGGGTTATATCCCCGCCTTTAGAGCCATATAGCATCTATATATATATATATATATATTTTGGGAACGGGGCTGGGGGAGCTGGGGCCGCTGCAGCTCGCCTCCCCCCCTCGCCCAAAGGCCTCCTGCCCCTTTAAGGGAGACCTCAAATAACCTTTTTAAAAAGGAATTTGCCATTTTTAGGCGCTTTCGGGGCGTGTGGGAGCACCGCTGCGCCAACCCAGTGCCGAAAACGTACTGGGGGGAGGGTTTGACCCCCCCAGCCCCAAATTCTGCCGGGGCAGCGGGTGCCGGGAAGGGGCCGGTGGGATCCGTGCTGTGTCGGATCTGGCTCAGACCCTTCCCGGGACTAGCTGGGCACCCCGGGACGGGGACGGACATGGGGACGGACGCTGGGACGGACGCACCCTCACCCAGCGTTATCCGCTGGCGGCCGGTGGCCCCAGCCCTGGGCGTCCCCAAGCAGGGGTGTCTCCAGCCCCAGGGTGTCCGACACCCGCTGCCGACCGCAACCCTGCAAAATCCTGGTTGTCGACTCACGTGATTAGGCAATTTTCGGCAATTTTAGGCAATTTTCGGCAATTTTCTACAACCAGCCACTGCCGTCGGCTCCCCTCTCTGGCAAATTCGGCTTCGCAGCGGGGCTGGGGGGAAGGACCCGCACCCCTTACCCCAAAAACCCGACCCCGATCTCCCTGGAGGGAGCCGTCTCTGCCCCGAGACGCAGCAACGACCGAGCATCTCGCGCCGCTGGAGCTTCGCCTTCCCCGAAAGCGGAGGGGGGAAGGCTGGCCCCGCTCCCCCGGCCCTCCGAGGCACCGTGTACCGCCCGCCCTGAAAGAGCCCTTCCACTCCTATCACATTTTTTTTCCTATTTTTGCTTTTTTTTTTTTTATTTCCTTAAATAGATCTCTCTCTGAAATAGGTTTGTTTTTTTTTTTAACGTGTGTTTGGACACAAAATAAAGCTTTGGATTTACATGGAAGCTCTTTTCCATGTGACAGAGCCACTTTCCATCTCCACCCCGTGCTTCCTAGCATCTGCCTTTCCAAGAAAAGGTCCTTGGCTACTGAGGGATCCTCGGGGGAGCCCTGCTTACGATGGGAAGATTGGAAACATAATATATATATATATTTTTTTCTGTTTTTTTTTTTAAAAAAAGGGAGAGAAACATCTTTAAAGAGAAAAATCGGAGGAAAAGTACTAACTAGATTTTGTGACACTTTGTTTTTTGGTTTAGGAGAGTCCTTGCGTGTTACCCTCAGACGACCCTCCTGCTACATTCAATCCTGATGCTTCATTATTTGAATTATCCTCAAAGTGCTGCTGCTCCTGGCCGTTCCTCTGCAGGGTGTCCTCTGATTCTTGACTCTCCCCACCGGCTTGAAAACTTCCATCTTCGGGGTTCCCCGTAGGGGTGGTAGGCAGACCCCCGGCATCTCTCACCCGGGGTTTACGGCCCCTCCTGGATCGAATACCGTTGCATCCATCTTTTTTAAGGTGCCTGTGCAAGTGGTCGGAGCGGACGAAAGTCTTGAAGCAGCTGTCGCACTGGTAGGGCCGCAGGCCGGTGTGGACGCGCATGTGGTTCTTCAAGTCGTAGTTGTGAGCGAAAGCGGCGCCGCATTGCTGGCACAAGTACGGCTTCTCCCCCGTGTGTTTCCTCATGTGAACCTTCAGCTTGTCCTGCCTGCGCGGGAGAGAAAGGACAGGAGGGGGGGCAGGTCAGCCTGGGGGTCTGCCTTTGTCCCTCGCACCCGGTACCGGGCTGAGCATCACCCGGTACGGGGCCAAGCATCGGTACGGGACCGAGCATCGCCCGGTACGGGGCCAAGCATTGGTACAGGACCGAGCATCGCCCGGTACAGGACTCTGCGTTGGTATGGGACCGAGCATTCCCCAGTATGGGGCTGAGCATCGGTACGGGACTGAGCATCACCCGGTATGGGGCTGAGCATCGGTATGGGACCGAGCATCACCCGGTATGGGGCTGAGCATCAGTACGGGACCGAGCATCGCCCGGTACAGGGCTCAGCATCGCCTGGTACGGTGCTCAGAATTGGTATGGGGTCAAGCATCGCCCAGTACAGGGCTCAGCATCAGTACACAGTCAAGCATCAGCACAGGCTCAAGCATCACGCAGTACAGGGCTGAGCATCACTACGGGGCTGAGCATCTCCTGGTATGGGGCTCAGCATCGGTACAGGGTCAAGCATTGCCCAGTACGGGGCCGAGCATTGCTACAGGGCCGAGCATTGCACAGCATGGAGCCGAGCGTCGGTACGGGGCCGAGCATCGCCCAGTATGGGGCTGGCTGGCTCCTGGCAGGGCCCGTGCTGCCGCAGCTTGCCAGAGCCAGGGGAGGGCAGTTGCAGCAGCCGGGCCGGGGGCCAAGAAGGCCACGTGAGCCGCTGCGTCTTGTTTCTTCCTGGAGGAAAAAAAAAAAAAAATCAGGCACGAAGCGCATGGCAGGGCAGCGCAGGCAGCGAGGAGCACCGTCCCTGCCCGGGCGGGGGGCAAGGGAACCGCTCGCCTCTTGCCAAGTGGATCCGGCCCCATCCCGCCCTGCTCTCCGGCAGGGAAAAGGCAGGCCCCAGCCCTGCACACCCTGCTGCAGCACAGCCACCGCTGCCTTCACCAGTGGGGGGAAATTCTGGCAGCACGAGGCCCCAAGAAGTCCTAAACCTTAAGGGAAGGATCAAAACACCAAGGACGTGTCCACCTCGGGTTTTAACGCAGCTCCCAAAGGGGGTGGGAAGGTGGGCCTTGCTTAAAACAACGTGGTACACAGCACCACATCAAAACAGCTTTTTAAAAAATTTTTTGTAATTTATAAAATTTTATAAATATTTGTAATTTTTATAAATCCATTCTGCCTTTCTTTCAGAAGATTACGAGGGGGCCGTCGCCACTCCTGCCCCTGCGAACGCAGAGGAACCAGGAAGCACAAGCGAGCAAAAATCAGCGTAAACCGACGGGCTCTGGTCCCCACCCAGCAAGGGGGTGGCAGGGAAACACCCCGTGCAAAACAGTCCCGGCTCGTCCTCCTGCCTTCAGCCCAAAAGCTCCTTCCAGAGCAGGGACTGCTGCTCTCTGAGCAAGCTCCCCGCGCCCAGGCTTCCCCAGCCCACTGCGATACGTGGCATTTTTAATGGCACAGGGAAGAGATTTGTTTTTGAGCAACAGCACCGTCACCTGATGGGATGAGGATGGGGAAGGAATGCAAAAGAATAATAAAATCAGGGAGAAAATAAGGATGATGGAGGGCTTGGTCAGGTTTGCACCCATTTTTACACTGGGAGCCTCCGGGATAAGGCTTCCAGCACAGCCCAGGTGCTAGGGGAGAAGCAGCAAAAAGCAACTCACTGACACCGCTGCTGAAAACAACCCAGAGCAGACGAGAGCTGGGCTGGCAGCATGAGTTTTTATCACGCTCTGCGGTACCCCGTGGCAGGCCATGCTGGGGGGACGAGGCTGGTGCACACGGGGGAGCCAGCCACGGGCCGAGGGAGCTGGAACCAGCTGCGATTTTGGGCAGCAGCCTCAAGGGAGATTTTCCATGACGGGTGTGAACGCCGTGGGTCGGAGCAGGAGCAGGAACTGGATGCCGTGGGGCAAGACACAAGATGGGGCACAGCGCTGGTGGGAAGCGAGGCCGATGGCAGCTCCCTGTCCCTGTCTGGGCTTCTCTGGGATGTATTTTGGCTGGAAAATAGCACGGCCTTGGCATATTCTGAAATGGCCTTGTTTAGAGGGGCTAGGATAAGGATGGAGTTTCTACCCTGTTCTCTGCAGTGCCAGGCGCTCCCGGGAGCCCGCAGGGAGCAGGTCCCCATTCGAAATCCACAGGAGAAGGGCGAGATCGAGAAGCGATGAGATGGCACTGCCCCACCGACCTCCCCCTCCTCGCCCAAAAAATGCCATGCCTCCCCTCACTTCTACCCCCAGTGTCGATGGCTGCCAGGGACCCCACGGCGTTGCCGCATCCGCTGGCTCCCAGCCACCAGAGGACCTTGGACCGCTCAGGTGCGGCGGCCGGATTCTGCACAAGGGTGTGTGCGCAGCACCCAGGGGCCCCCTGGCACACGCGGGGCAGATCTGGCACGGGGCAGGGAGGCGCGGTGTCGCAGGGCCCAGCCGCGCAGGGCCGGGTGCTGGGGGAGCGGCAGAGGGCTGGCATCCTGCCCCCACCATTATCTGCATTCCTCAGCTATCCAACATGGGGCTGGGTGGGGCGCCGGCCACGGGACAGGCAGCGCTGTGGGGCAGGACACGGCCTCCTGCCCACGTCCCAGCCCCATCGGCTCCACGCCAGAGCCACCTGCCCCGTCCACGGGCTGCCCCCGG